ATTAACATGGAGACGATACCCTGATACATTGGCATCTACTATGAAGTTTATAATCAAATAAGGGTTTTGATAACTTGGGATCCATAAATGGTCTGCAAGGTCTGCCCCTGTAGACCTGCACTTAGAGGGTGACATTGCCGTCTCAGGTGCCTGCTCTTCTGGTGACATTTTTCCTTGGCTACATTGCTCACTTAGAATTTTTTTCCCCAGCTGTTGACATTTTATTTTCTGCATATCTCTGAAGCTGCAGCAGTTGTTCTTATGCCTTTTTGATTGTAAGCTTCACAGAAGCTGTCAGTTTCCAAAGGATTTCATCTCCTTTGGATGGAGCCAGGTCAATAGCTACAAACCTATCTGAGAATGTCTGCCATTGATCTCCTCTCTGTCTAGAAAGGTGTCTTAGTCTATTAAGGGTACTATAACAAAATACCACAAACAAGGTGGCTTATAAACAACCAATATTTCTTATAGTTCTAGAGGCTGGGAAGTGAAAAATTAAGGTGCCAGCAGATTTGATGTCTGGTGAGAGCATGTTTCCTTGTTCATAGATGATGCCTTCTGGCTGTGTTTTCACACGGTAGAAGGGGTGAGGCAGCTCTCTGGGGCTTCTTCTGTAAGAGCACTAATCCCATTCATGATGGCTCTGCCTTCATAACCTAATCACCTTCCAGAGGCCCCACTTCTTAATGTCATCACGGGGGTTAGAATTTCAACACATAAATTTAGGAGGACACAAACATTCAGATGATTGTAATATAAACTTTGTGTCTTAATAAGTTCTATGGGTTATAGCAGGTAAAAACTGGTTTCTAGTTTATGAGTTCAGCAGATATTTGACACAGGATTCCTCAATTTAGTGAAGTCACACAAAATGGTATAAATCTGATTTTTTTATCTGGACATCTATATCCCAAGCAGTCACATCTCCTCTAGAAATTGTTCTAATCTTACAACAGTTCTTCTCAGTCCTCAGACTTTCCAGTGGGATAGTAAGAGCCTTCAGAGTGTAGAACAGGCTTGCCTGTGCCATGATTCAGATACTCAACCACAATGAAGATGTACTCACCCTAGGGAGAGATTTTAATCTCTGATTATAGTCTCCAAATGTTATCAGTGTAAGTCACAGTCATCTAAAGCCCTTCAGCAATACATAATCAGGAGTTCAGCAACTAAATGGGAGTTGCCAGTTTTATTATCATCAGTAAAAAAATACAAAGAGATTTCATTCATCAGGGGCAGTAACATTCTCATCCTTCTTTCTGTCTCATTCACTGCTGCACAACACCAATGCCTTCTCAAAGTTCCCTCTGGCATGATTCTAGGTTTCTTCAGGAAGGCTTTCCTGCAGCCTAGTTAGCATAGACTTTCTCCTAGTTAGCATAGACTTCTCTCCTCTCCTCTCTTCTCCTCTTCTCCTCCACTCTCTTCTCCCCTTCCCTCCCCTCCCCTCCCCTCCCCTTCCCTTCCCTTCTCTTTTTTTTTTGATGGGGTCTGGCTCTCTTGACCAGGCAGGAGTGTAGTGGTGCAATCTTGGCTCACTGCAACCTCCTCTTCCCAGGTTCAAGCAATTCTCCTGCCTCAGCCTCCTCGGTGGCTGGGATTACAGGCGTGTGCCACCATGCCTGGCTAATTTTTGTATTTTTAGTAGAGATAGGATTTCACCATGCTGGCCAGGCTGGTCTTGAACTCCTGGCCTTGTGATCCACCTGCCTCAGTCTCCCAAAGTTCTGGGATTACAGGCATGAGCCAACGCATCCTGCCAGACTTCTTCATCTTTCTCCCCACTTGTATCTCAGCTCTTTACCATGTAGATCAATTTAGCCTCCCTGGCTTGCTTCCTTCCTGACAATCTCTGCCTTTACCCAAATTCTACCCTAGAAGCAATTAGATAAAAGTGGATGCATCAAGAAAATACCCTTTCTTTTTAGGAAAAAAGGAACAGGCTGGGTGCGGTGGCTCACGCCTGTAATCCCAGCACTTTGGGAGGCTAAGATGGGTGAATCACAAGGTCAGGAGTTCAAGACCAGCCTGGCCAAGATGGTGAAACCCCATCTCTACTAAAAATACAAAAATTAGCTGGGCGTGGTGGCATGTACCTATAATCCCAGCTACTCAGTTCTCGGCTGAGGCAGAGAACTACTTAAACCAGGAGGCAGAAGTTACAATGAGCTGAGATTGAGCCACTGCACTCCAGCCTGGGAGATAGAGCAAGACTCCATCTCAAAAACAAAACAAAACAAAACAAAACAAAACAAAACAAAACAAAAAACAACAAAAAACCAAAGGAAAGAAGGGATGGGAGGCAAGGGAGAAGACAGCAAATACTTATTATTTGGTATCTGTTATTCTGCTACTTATGTATTTTTAAAAATGATTTAACCACAAAACTAAAACACAAAATAATGCTTTTTCTTTGAAAATATACTTGAACACTTTATCTCAATTGTCAGGAAGCTCAGAACTAAATTCAGAACTATACTGGTCATTGTGTATGTTTATTTATTTCAAGGTAATTAATTTTGATACTTTTCAAGAGATTGATTGTAAATGTACTTTCAGATGACAGATTTATCAAGATATAGCTGATATACCATAAAATTCACTTTTTAATAGTGTACAGTTTAGGCTGGATGCAGTGGCTTATGCCTGTATTCTCAGCAGTTTTGGAGGCTGAGGTGAGAGGATCACTTGAGTCCAGGAGTTCAAGCCTGGCCAGTGTGGCAAAACCACGTCTCTACTAAAAATACAAAAATTAGCTGGGCATGGTGGTGCACACCTGTAATCTCAGCTACTGGGGAAGCTGAGGCACAAGAATTGCTTGAAGCCAGAAAGCAGAGGTTGCCATGAGCTGAGATCATGCCACTGCACTCTAGTCTGGGTGACAGAGCAAGACCTAGTCTCAAAAAAAGTGTAAAATTTCATGATTTTTTTAGCATGTGCACATACAGGAAATGCACCACTATCATATTTTAAAACATTTTCATCACCTCTAAGAGAAACCCTGTACCCATAAGTAGTGGCTCCCCATTCTGCTCTCCCACTAGCCGTTGGTCTTTTCTGGATCTTTCATATAAACGAGATAATAGAATATGTGTTTTTTTGCGATTGGCTTCTTTCCCTTAGCATGATGTTTTCAAGGTTCACCCATGTGGCAGAATGTCACGGTGCCCTGTTCTTTTTTACTGATGAATTATATTCCATTGTATGACTATACCACATTTTGTTTTTCCACTCATCAGCTGATGGCATTTGGGTTGTTTCTACTTTTTGGTGATTATGAATAATGCTTCAATGAACATTTGTGTACAATTTTTGTGTGGGCATAAGTTTTCAATTCTCTTGCCCATATGCCTAGGAATGGAATTGCTGGGTCATATGGCAGTTTTATATTTAATACTTTTAAAACTGGCAAGCTCTTTTCCACAGCAGCCACAGCATTTGACATTCCCACCAGTAGTGTATGAGAGTTCTAGTTTCCTCACATCCCCACGGATGGTTGTTATTGTCTGTCTTTTTTATTTTAGCGAACTGGTGGGTACTAAATTGTAGCTTATTTGTATTATATTTAATGATTAGTCAAAACAATTTATGTTTGTGTAAAGTTGCTTCAAATCCTTTTTTATTATTGTGGTAAAATAAAAATAACATAATATATATCATTTTAACCATTATTAAGTGTGCAATTCAGTGGTGTTAAGTATATTCACAATGTTGTACAGCCATAATCACTATCCACTTCCAGAATTTTTCCATCATCTCAAATGGAAACTTTGTGCCCATTGGACAATAACTCTCATTTCTCTTCTTCCCCAGCCCCTGGTGACTTCTACTTTACATACAATTTCTATGAATTAGCCTATTCTATGTACTTCACAGAAGTGGAATTAGTCCTTTTGTGTCTGGCTTATTTCATTTAGTACGTTTTCAAGGCTCATCCATGTTGTAGTTGTAGTATGTGTCAGAATTTCATTCACCTTTTTTTTTTTTTTTTTTTTTTTTTTTTTTGATGTGAAGTCTTGCTCTGTGGCCCAGGCTGTAATGCAATGGCACGATCTTGGCTCATTGCAACCTCCACCTGCCAGGCTCAAGTGATTCTCCTGCCTCAGCCTCCCAAGTAGCTGGGACTACAGGTGGCTGCCACCATGCCTGGCTAATTTTTGTAATTTTCTTTTCTTTTCTTCTTTTTTTTTTTTTAGTAGAGATGAGGTTTCACCATGTTGCTCAGGCTGATCTTGAGCTCCTGACCTCAGGTGATTCGGCCACCTGAGTCTCCCAAAGTGCTGGGATTACAGTCATGAGCCACCATGCTCAGCCTTAAATTCTTTTTGTGAGCAGCTCTGGCCTAATCTTAAATAATAAGCTAATACAGAGGATGTGCCTCACACTCCAGCATAGTGTGTGTTTTGGCTTTAAGATCTTGGGACAGCTTCTCTGAAGAAGACATCACTCCACTCCCCAGTTGCAGCTGTTTACCTCCCAGACTCGCTGGTAAAGTTAGAAGATGCTTCTAACAGAAAAAGTGCCTATCTATGTTTGCCTCACAGCAGTTGTGAAGACTTGCTGAGATGGATCTGAGGTGGGGTCCTCAAGGGATACAGCATTAGAAGAGGAGACATTTTGCTCTTCCTACTGTTAATACACCAGCAAAGTCCCGTTGGTTGGTACAGAAAGTTGAAGTTGCTTTTGCTTTTGGAGCTCATAGAGTGTGTGTACCCCTACCAGCAGGATTATTTAAGAATCTGACCCCAGAATCATGCTGTCCACAGTTTTGTCTCATTGATTTTTTTCAAGTCCGGGCACTCTAATATGTTTATATTATAACTGTCTTAAGACATGTTCGTTCAGTACATATGCTTAGCAAGATCTGTAACTGTTTGGGATGAATTCCATTCTTTATTCATAAAAAAGGTATGAAGCAAATTGACTTCTGATTTGTCATGTTTGTAAAGTGTTCTTAAGTAAATACAACAGTAGTTATCAGCATTCTCCTGACTTCCTAGATTAAAACTTTGGAACAGACTAAAGCCATTGAAGATCTAAACAAATCCAGAGAACAGCTGGAGAAGATGAAGGAGAAAGCTGAGAAAAAGCTCATGTCTGTCAAGTCAGAACTGGATACCACAGAACATGAGGCGAAGGAGAACAAAGAAAGGGCCAGAAACATGATAGAAGCAGTAACCAGTGAAATGAAGACACTAAAAAAATCTCTGGAAGACACAGAAAAGAGAGAAAAGCAGGTGGGTCTAAACCTGGTGATGAAACCAGATTTAGGAAGATTTTCTTCTTGTTTAGGAAATGACAGGACAATTCAAGAACTTGATATTAATAGTTATTCATTTAAAAAATGGACTGTTTTCATGAATTTGTGTTTCATCCTTTCTCGAGGCACATGCTAATCTTCTCTAACGTTGCAATGTTAACACGCGCTCCCAAAGTGAGAACTATTCACGTATTTATTCAAAAGCAATTAATAAAGCTTTCATATCTTTTCAACATATCCACCTTCCCCTCCAGCATCTTTTTGACATTCAAGTAACCATTCTGATTGACCCCTCTAAGAAAAATTATTCACATTTTCGTGGCACAAACTGCAGGAAAAGAAAAGGCGTTCTTATTCAAGCAACGGAAGGGTTCTGGTTCTCGGGAGGTTTTTTTAAGTGATCGCCTCTGAAGTTTGCATCATTGCAAAGCTCTTAACGTTAACCAGGGCTCTGGCCTCAGGAGGGAAGCCTTATCTGCAGCAGAGATCAGTTGCAGGAAACAGCCCCAAATCTCAAACAGTGGCACCCAGACTTGATGGCCAACCAGGCACAGATGTAAGCCATAAAAAAGTACTCATTTGCTTGCTGGCTACAAGGAGGAGCATTTTATCTAGTGAGTCCATCAGGAGGTCAGGCACAAAGAAACGTGTACCGGGCAGCTTGACCTCCATTGCTTTTTGGCTTTTGTCTCTTTCTCCTTTTGAAGCTCAAAAGGGCATAGAATGGACTCTGATCCGAGGATTTTTCTTCCCCCGCTTTGGCTGCCTCTGTTTTGGTTCATGTGTCAGGCCGAGGTGGGGAAAGCCAAATGACACAATGAACGTTCTCAGAAAGGAAACCGCTTTGGAATTGCAAAGCTTTGGCCACATTGGAAAGGGTGGAAGTCTGAGAGAAACTTTACTTTTTCATCAGGGAGACTCGGTTGGTGTCTTAGTCCTTTCGGGCTGCTATACCAAAGTACCATCTACTGGGTGGCTTATAAATAATAGAAATCTCTTTCTCACAGTTCTGGAGGCTGAGAAGTCCAAGATCAAGGTGTCTGGTGAGCATAGTTTCCTGGTTCAGAGCCGGCCCCTTCTTGCTGTGTCCTCATGTGGTAGAAGGAGCAAGGTGGCTTTCCGGGGCCTCTTTTATAAAGGCACTAATCTTATTCATGAGGGCTCCACCCTCATGATCTAATCACCCACCAAAGGCCCCACCTCCTAATATCTTCACATTGGTCATTAGATTTCAACATAAGAATTTTGAGGGATTATAAAATTCAAACCATAGGATCTGGAGAAAATGTCACCATTCCCAAATTGGACTCTGCAAGAGAAGGAGGTTGCAGAGCCAATGAGCCTGGGGTGGGACTCTTGTTTGGGTGGCATTCTCTTGGATGTTGGAGCAACCCTTTTCTAAAATGGAGGGTGCCTTTAATGAAGTGTTGGCCAGATGCCTTGATTTATCTGATTTTGCATTAACCTAGAACCACAGAAACCAGCCTATGAGAATTTGAAGGGGTATGAGGCATATTTCAACCATTGTTCCCAGCCCCTCACTCTTATTTCTTCAAGGGACAAATGAAAGTCCTAGAGCAGTCCCATGGAATGGCTTGTGAAGTGGCAAGCTATGTGATATGACTTGATAGTAATTTAGAAGTCCTCCTGTTTTCATTAGCATATACTTTCTTGCTATTTGTTCCTTGTTTTTTTTTTTTTTAGTTTAAGAGATTATTAGCCAGCTAAAATCCCAAAGCATGTTTACCATCCTTTGACACAACCCCACCAACATTTGCTTAGTTCTTCCTAGTTTGCAGAGCATACACAGAGTCACCATTTCATTTGATCTGAATTTCAGAGCAGCCTTCTGAGCTAGGTGTATGGCTAATCCCACCCTGGAGTTGGGAAAATGAAATCTTAGTGAGGTCAGGGTTTCATTCACGGTTACTTAACTGAGATTCTTGACTCAGTAACCAATACCACATCAGTTGGCTTATCAGAAGGGTGGTTGTGAAATCTCTGAAGGTTGGCAGTTGATGGGACTTATCTGGAATCTGGTATTTTATAAGTGAGAGAACTATGAAGAGGGTAGATAATTTCCCTACCTCATGCAAACCTGAGTTTTCTACAGTTTTTTTTTTTTTTTTTTTTTTTTTTTTTTTTTTTTTTGTCTGTTTGTTGCATTTGGCTCAGCAGTAGTTGATACGTTTTGTTTTCCCAGTTAATGAGTTTCTGTTTGATATTACAGCTGGCAGACTTCAGGGAGGTGGTGTCACAGATGCTAGGCTTGAACATGACCAGCCTTGCTCTTCCTGACTATGAAATCATCAAGTGTCTTGAAAGACTGATTCATTCACATCGGCATCGGTTTGTTACCTGTGCCTGCCTCAAAGATGTGACTACCAGGGAAGACAAGCACCCACAAGGCCATTTACAGCTTCTTCATTGAACACTGTATCTCTTGAGAGAAGTAGCCAAAAGACATGGGACACAATTCCCAATTTCACAAATTCATCATGTCTCTGAGATTTGATTAGTTTGTGAATATTGTATGCGTTGATGATACAGTGATAATTCATCACTCACAAAAAGGATCTCAAAGGTTTTAGCCTTAGATAAATGTTCTGCATTAAAAACATCTATTATTTCATTTACCAGCATTTTAGGACCCAGAAGAATTCCACCAGATTACATGAGTTAGATTGGGAAATGAGAGCAGGGAATTAACATTGTCGGGTATCTATTTTAAGTCAGGGGTTTTACTAGCCAATTTTGTTCTCATAAAAACCATGTAGAAAAGCTGTGACAAGTATTTTATTTTACAACCTTTCTGGGGCTCAGACATGGAGTTACCTATCCAAGGATATAGTTGGGTACCAGTGAAACCAGAATGGACAACCCATTGGTCCTGCCTCAAAGGCCATTCCTTTTCTGCTACACAGACTCGGTTTCTCCTGAATCTCTAGGATGCTGGTGGGAATTGTTTGCATATTGAAAGGAAAATATCCCTGTCATCAAGAGTTAATGTCCGGTCCGGGCTGGGCATGTTGGGTTATGCCTGCAATCCCAGCAGTTTGGGAGGCTGAGATGGGCATATCATTTGAGGTCAGGAGTTTGAGACGAGCCTGGCCAACATGGTGAGACCCCATCTCTACTAAAAGTACAATAATTAGCTGGGCATGGTGGCATGCACCTCTAATCCCAGCTACTCAGGAGGCTGAGGCAGGAGAATTACTTGAACCTGGGAGGTGGAGGTTGCAGTGAGCCAAGATTGTGCCATTGCATTCCAGCCTGGGTGACAGATTATGACTACATCTCAAAAAAAAAAAAAAAAAAAAAAAAGTTAATGTCCAAAAGTGACAGATTTATAAGTGTAAGCCATATGATTTCTTCAAAAAGCAATCCACTTAATTCATTTGGATAAAATATACATAGGTCGGTTTCGGAATGCTGGGAAGATGGCCGCCTAAGAACAGCTCAGGACTTCAGCTCCCAGTGAAGGTGCAGAGGGTGAGTGGACGCCGCATTTCCAGACGAACTCTCATTGCCCACAGACCAGGAGATACCCAGGCAGAGGGGTCACCAGCGTCGCAGTCCCAGCCGGTGCGGCTGTTTTGGCCCCCGCGGGGCTGATTCCACCCGCACGGCTGCTGTGACCACGTCCTGTTGCTGCGGTTCTCCGTACAAAAGCCACTGGTCTGGGAGCCCTCTTAGCTGGCGAGCAGAGCCCTGAGACGGCAGAGTTGCCCATTCATCTGAAATAGCGAGTCAGGCTAGGAGATTCCTAGGCAAAAAATCCGCCAGGAGCCGGCGCCACAGTTCGAGCCGACTCCGTGAGTCGCAGCACGGGAGATCCCAGTACCTTTTCAGCAGGCGACCCAAACGCGGGGTCGTTCAACTTAAAAGACTCTGAGTCAGGGAGCCAGGTGATCAGGCTCGGTTGGTCCCACCCCTCCACCCTCCAACAACAACGAAAACAAAAACAGTAATTGGAAACCCTCTGGGTTGAGCCCTCCAAACCAAGCACAGCTGAACTGGGACGGTCCGGCTCCGTGGGGGAGGGGCTTCCGCCATTACTGAGACTCTCCACTGCTACAGAGGCAGGCTGCTGTTGCCGAGGCAACCTGCCACAACAGAGAGAGTCCCCCATAACAGAGGCGGGGCCACCATTGCCGAGACAGTTCTAACTACGCCCATATAAAAAGGACTACAGGGCAGCGGGGCGGAGCCCACAGCAGCTCAGCAAAGCCCCTGGGGGCAGGCAGTGGCTAGGCGTGCTGCTAGCTGGGTGGGTCAGACCTGAAAGAAAAATCAAAAAAGGCAGTAGTGCAACGGAAACTCATAAAGCTCCAACTCCCTGGGACAGAGGCAGACAACAGGTGGATAAACCCACAAAAATGGGAAGAAACCAGCGCAAAAAGGATGAAAACTCCTGAAACCAGAACACCTCTCCTCCTAAAAGGGATCACAACTCCTCACCAGCAAGGGAACCAGACCGGATGGAGAAGGAGGGTGATGAAATGACAGAATCAGACTTCAGAAGGTGGGTAGTAAGAAACTACAATGAGCTAAAAGAACATGTTCTAACCCAACGCAAAGAAAATAGGAACCTTGAAAAAAGATTGGACGAACTGCTGACGAGAACGGACAGCATAGAGAGGAGTATAAGTGAATTGATGGAGCTGAAAAACGCAACACGAGAACTTCGTGAAGCATGCACAAGCTTCAACAGCCGAATTGACCAAGCAGAAGAAAGGATATCAGAGGTCGAAGATCAACTCAATGAAATAAAAAGAGAAGGCAAGAACAGAGAAAAAAGCACAAAAAGGAATGAACAAAATCTTCAAGAAATGTGGGACTATGTGAAAAGACCTAATCTACGTCTGATAGGTGTACCTGAATGTGATGAAGAGAATGAATCCAAGGTGGAAAATACTCTTCAGGATATTATCCAGGAAAACTTCCCCAACCTAGCAAGGCAGACCAATATTCAAATCCAGGAAATACAGAGAACACCACAAAGATATTCCTCAAGAAGAGCAACCCCAAGGCACATAATCGTCAGATTCACCAGGGTTGAAATGAAAGAGAAAATGCTAAGGGCAGCCAGAGAGAAAGGTCGGGTTACCCACAAAGGGAAGCCCATTAGACTCACAGCAGATCTCTCAGCAGAAACCCTACAAGCCAGAAGAGATTGGGGGCCAATATTCAACATCCTTAAAGAAAAGAACTTTCAACCCAGAATCTCCTATCCAGCCAAACTAAGCTTCATAAGTGAAGGAAAAATAAAATCCTTTGTGAACAAGCAAGCACTCAGAGATTTCATCACCACCAAACCTGCTCTACAAGAACTCCTGAAAGAGGCTCTACACATATAAAGGAACAACCAGTACCAGTCACTCCAAAAACACACCAAATGGTAAAAGAGCACCAACACAATCAAGAATCTGCATCAACTAACCAACAAAACAGCCAGGTAGCATCAAAATGACAGTATCAAATTCATACATAACAATACTATCCCTAAATGTCAATGGACTAAATGCCCCAATCAAAAGACACAGACTGGCAAATTGGATAAAAAGCCAAAACCCATCAGTGTGCTGTATCCAGGAAACCCATCTTACATGCAAGGATACACAAAGGCTCAAAATAAAGGGATGGAGGAAGATCTACCAAGCAAATGGAGAGCAAAAAAAAGCAGGAGTTGCAATTCTCATCTCTGATAAAATAGACTTTAAAGTAACAAAGATCAAAAGAGACAAAGAAGGACATTACATAATGGTAAAAGGATCACTGCAGCAAGAAGAGCTAACGATCCTAAATATATATGCACCCAATACAGGAGCACCCAGATACATAAGGCAAGTTCTTAATGACTTACAAAGAGACTTAGACTCTCACACAATAATAGTGGGAGACTTTAACACCCCATTGTCAATATTAGACAGATCATCCAGACAGAAAATCAACAAGGATATCCAGGACCTGAATACAGACCTGGAACAAGCAAACCTAATAGACATTTACAGAACTCTCCACCCCAAATCCACAGAATATACATTCTTCTCAGCACCACATCACACCTACTCTAAAATTGACCACATAATTGGCAATAAATCACTCCTCAGCAAATGCAAAAGAACAGAAATCATAACAAACGGTCTCTCAGACCACAGTGCAATCAAGTTGGAACTCAGAATGCAGAAACTAACTCAGAACCGCACAGCTTCATGGAAACTGAACAACTTGCTCTTGAATGTTGACTGGATAAACAATGAAATGAAGGCAGAAATAAAGATGTTCTTCGAAACCAATGAGAATGAAGACAAAACATACCAGAATCTCTGGGACACATTTAAAGCAGTCTCTAGAGGAAAATATATAGCAATGAGTGCCCACATGAGAAGAAAGGAGAGATCTAAAATTGACACCCTATCATCAAAATTGAAAGAGCTAGAGGAGCAAGATCAAAAAAACTCAAAACCTAGCAGAAGACAGGAAATAACTAAGATCAGAGCAGAACTGAAGGAAATAGAGACACAAAAAACTCTTCAAAAAATCAATAAATCCAGGAGCTGGTTCTTTGAAAAGATCAACAAAATAGACAGACCACTAGCCAGATTACTAAAAAAGAAAAGAGAGAATAACCAAATTGATGCAATAAAAAACGATAAAGGGGATATCACCACAGATACCACAGAAATCCAAACCATCATCAGAGATTATTACAAACAACTCTATGCACATAAACTAGTAAACCTGGAAGAAATGGATAAATTCCTGGACACCTGCATCCTCCCAAGCCTAAACCTGGAAGAAGCCAAAACCCTGAATAGACCAATAACATGGTCTGAAGTCGAGGCAGCAATAAAGAGCCTACCACCCAAAAAAAGCCCAGGTCCAGATGGGTTCACAGCTGAATTCTACCAGACATACAAAGAGGAGCTGATACCATTCCTTCTGAAACTATTCCAGACAATCCAAAAAGAGAGAATTCTTCCCAAATCATTTTACGAGACCAACATCATCCTGATACCAAAACCCGGCAGAGACTCAACAAGAAAAGAAAATTTCAGGCCAATATCCATGATGAACATAGATGCAAAAATCTTCAATAAAATACTGGCAAACCGATTGCAACAGCATATCAAAAAGCTCATCCACCATGATCAAGTAGGATTCATCCCGGGGATGCAAGGCTGGTTCAACATATGCAAGTCCATAAACGTAATCCACCACATAAACAGAACCAAAGACAAAAACCACATGATTATCTCAATTGATGCAGAGAAGGCTTTTGACAAAATTCAACAACCCTTTATGCTAAAAACCCTCAATAAACTAGGTATTGACGGAACGTATCTCAAAACAATAAAAGCTATTTACGACAAACCAACAGCCAATATCATACTGAATGAGCAAAAACTGGAAGCATTCCCTTTGAAATCTGGCACTAGACAAGGGTGCCCTCTCTCACCACTCCTATTCAATATAGTACTGGAAGTTCTAGCCAGAGCAATCAGGCAAGAAAAAGAAATAAAGGGTATCCAAATTGGAAAGGAGGAAATCAAATTGTCTCTATTTGCAGATGACATGATTGTATATCTGGAAGACCCCATCATCTCAGCCCAAAATCTCCTGAAACTGATAAACAACTTCAGCAAAGTCTCAGCATACAAAATCAACGTGCAAAAATCACAAGCATTCCTATATACCAGTAATAGACTTCAAGAGAGCCAAATCAAGAACGAACTGCCATTCACAATTGCTACAAAGAGAATAAAGTACCTAGGAATACAACTAACAAGGAACGTAAAGGACCTCTTCAAGGAGAACTACAAGCCATTGCTCAACGAAATAAGAGAGGATACAAACAGATGGAGAAACATTCCATGTTCATGGTTAGGAAGAATCAACATCGTGAAAATGGCCATACTGCCCAAAGTAATTTACAGATTCAATGCTATTCCCATCAAGCTACCAATGACCTTCTTCACAGAACTGGAAAAAAACACCTTAAACTTCATATGGAACCAAAAGAGAACCCGCATAGCCAAGTCAATTCTAAGCAAAAAGAACAAAGCAGGAGGCATCACACTACCGGACTTCAAACTATACTACAAGGCTACAGTAATCAAAACAGCATGGTACTGGTACCAAAACAGAGATATAGACCAATGGAACAGAACAGAGGCCTCAGAGGAAATACAACATACCCACAACCATCTGATCTTCGACAAAAACAAGCAACGGGGAAAGGACTCCCTGTTTAATAAATGGTGTTGGGAAAACTGGCTAGCCATGTGCAGAAAGCAG